GGCCCCTATGGCCCCGCCTCTAGAACCGCCCCTGCCTGGGGTTATAGACACTGAAAGAAACAGAATCAAATTGACAGAAAACAACTGGTCACAATCAGGGTTGCATATGTGGTTAATAAGGGGGCGTGGCACACAAGAGGATCGGACAGGTAGGCCATGAAAATTACACTCGTATTACCCAAAATATTAGAAAAAATAGAAAATAAATATTAAACATTATAATTGTTATTATTATACATCTAATTACGAAGAGCAAAGATGCTTCCGATGCGTAGCGATGTATCATTTTCATTGTCTCTTTCAACTTTTTAATCAATAGACAAAAAACCGCGATGGAGTGAAGCCGCGAAAGTCGAAGCGCGAAGTGGCGAGGGACGACTGTATATGCATACAAACAAGTGATAACTGCGAACCATTTTTAAATGAACTAAAAGTAGAATGTATCATAGAAGATATCTATGGCTGCGTTTCAGTGGATTAGTGATGTCACTTCCTGAGTGTCAGTGGACGTGATGTCACTTCCTGCGTCTCAGTGGACGTGAGCCTCAGTGGATCTGCAGCCAGACTCTATTGGGAAAATAATGGGGGCTTGACAAATCATAAAGCTCAGGAAATCCCTGGACTAAAATAATGAGCTGCTCCTCCATGTTTCTGCTGAGGCGTCAGTGTAACGGAAAAGGCGAGGAAGCTAATTGGTTGAATCTTGTCACATGACTCGCGGTGCGCTTGCGGCATTTTGAAAAGTTGAGATGTTTCCAACTCGTCGCGGCGCGGACGCGCCTGAAAAAACCGGGCGCGTCGCACCGCGTGCGCGTCGCGACCGCGTCGCTTCCGTTATGAGCGTGGCTGCCGCGCGTCTACATTTGAAATAATGGACTTGAGCGCGCAAAAGACGCGATATGTGAACGCCCCCTAATTCGCACTAAGCCGCTCCGCTCAACACCGCTCCTCGCTCCACTAAAATGTCCTCCCGCTCCAGTCAAATCGCTCCACGCTCGCTCCAATTTAAAAGAGGGACAAATAATCTGCATGCCTTACAAAAGTCACTTTAAACCAAAGCCTTATGTCATAAAGAAATATGAGCAACGGCAACATTGCCAGTCAGAACAGAAAATATTTCTTTTTAAGCAACATATAGACAACAACAGACAGGTTTGGCAATGGCATTCCACGCAAAAATAGGCTTAAAAATAAAGGAATCAGTGGGCTTAATAGCCTAAATATATATGCACGTTTTAAATTTCTCAGTTTTTTTCTGTTGATGCTGCTGCTGCGTCTCTCTATAAAATAAAATGTCACTGACAGCGTTACGTGAAATTTAAAAAATCCTATTAGACCTACTTTGAATGACAAAATGAATTTATTTGATTACCGATCTTTACTTTATAGGCTTTTATACTTTAATTTACTATAGACTTGATACAGTGTATGCTACAACCATATAAAACTTGCTCGCGTTTTGCTTTGGCTTCCGCCTGTTCGTGTAGCACCCTCTCATGTTTCTGAGAAAAGTGATTCCAAAGTGAATCTTTACTCACTGAAACAGTTTCACCACATTATTGTTCTTGCTCTACATTATTGTCATCTATACGTTTGATAAGAATAGTACACTTGTATGATTTAATAGTTTCCTTTGTGAAATACTTTGCGAATTCAATCTCGTTCCAATTTGTGAAACAGTCTTGATAATTGTACAGATGAATTCTGGGTAGATTTGGGCGCGCCTCAGAATCGTAGTGTGAGCGGTATCGGAGCGAAATTGGAGAGACAGAGCGACCGCTCCAGCCTTAATTAAAAAACCGCTTCGCGCTCTGACCAAATTCAGCCGGCTCCGCTCCTCGCTCACGCTCCGCTCCACTTCGCTCACATGCTCTGATTCAGAGCCAGCAAGCAACAGACTTTCAAAATAATACTACTACTAATATAATAAACTGCGTTAATTCGCGATAAAATAATTGTCTGCGTTAATAAAGTACTGCGTTAACGCGATAACGCGTTAACTTGCCCAGCACTAATAAAAACACAATGAATTATGTATTAATTTACTAAATCCATTTAAAATGGAGCACATCTGAAAGCAATGTCTATTGTAAATATAAAAGTGCCTTGTATTGCTTTGATAAATGAATACAGTTTTACTTTTTAGAATGAATTTACTTACCTCGTTTTATGTACATTAAAATGAAACAAAGAATTATTATTATTATTATCAATATTATTATCACTCCAAGATGGGTAGGACACTTTGAGAAGGGGGACTCAACTGGATCTAAAGATGAAAGAGTTTCATTTAAACATCAGTTTATCAGAAGCCAGTTTCACACATGTAAAGCTACAACTTCAGTCAAATAAAAATTCAGATACAGCCAAATGTTTCAGACACATTCCCCCAGGTACACACAGCCTCAAACACAACATGTTTAAACACACACACACGCACACACACACACACACACATTGTGTCCCCATAAGGATAGGTAAACCCGCTCACACACACACACACAGACACACACACAAAATACAATATAGATATAGATTATTGGATAGAGCAATGGAGCAAATGCCAAATGAAGCAGTAAAACCTGCCTAAGCTGACTAACTTACGATGTTTAGAAAATAAGGACCTGGATAACATAGCTGAGGAAGCCTGAGGAATACTGCTATTTATTACCAACACTGTAAAAATTTTTACCTAAACATCCAATTGTCACTGTGGAAGCAGTGGTGCTCACACTGTCATTAGCAGTGCAGGTGATGTTCACATCCTGTATGGGACTGCACCATGCTTCTGCCTCCTGTCCCGCGGTAACATAGCGCAGAGGTTTGAATTCGCAGCCATGAGGAAAGCCCTCTGGGCCGTAGGTAAAGGTGACTGTGTTTTTACTTTTCAATGAACACATCAGGAAGATGTTACACATGCCATGCTGTACTGTGCTGTTGATTACAGTTATTTTGGGTTCTGGAAGCTCTTCTGTAAGAAATACAGCAGTAGTATTAGTAGACAAGAATAGCAGCGATAGGAACATCAGTGTGCCATGTGTATGTCCATCCACTTGTCTTATTCAGGGTTGCGGGGGGTCTGGAGCCTATCCCGGAGGCTACAGGTGCAAGGCAGGGAACAACCCAGGATGGGGCACCAACCCATCACAGAGCACACTCACACACCAGTCACTCACACTGCCACGTTTATGTCTGTTCTGAATTCCTATTACATTTGTGATTACCAACAGTAAGATAACACCTAAAACAAGTTCCTATCCTCTGCAAAACAAACTGTTTATTTTTAGGGATTCAAAGAAATACCAGCCTTCACCAGAACTTCTTTCCACACCAGCAATTATTTTTTTTAATTGCCAGTCCATTTCATCTGAGCTGGCTAATTATGGAGCTAAATGAATCGGAAGCTGCAACTAAGTAGATAACTTAAGTCTTGTGTGACTTTGCTATTAGTTTGGGCGACACTGGTGCCCATCTACAAGGTACACAACAAAAATGGATTGGCAACTGCACTGCAAAAGCAGAGGAGTGCCTGAGACTCGCTGAGTCTTAACCCTGCCCCCTGCTCCAGTCCAATTAACAAATATTTGCATGGTATGAACTTGAAAATGAAAAAGCAAATTGGGAAATCAAAAAGCCAAGTATGAAATCAAAAGTCAAATTGAAAAATGAAAAGAGATATTTAAAAAACAAAAAGTTTTTTTATTTTATGTTTTAATTTTCACAAATGACTCATACATGAGTAGAAAATTAAAATGCAAATGGTGTTATTTCATTTTATCTTTTTCATTTTTGCAGGATCCTTGCACATTTTATCATTATCATTTTCATTTATACCTCCCATAGGCTAATGGCCCACCCATTAAAAATAACTAACACCTGTATTTACCCAGCCCATATACAGTGCTCTTCATAATTATTGACACCCCTTGTAAAGATCTGTTAAAAAGCTTCAGTGAAATCTACCCTTCAGTGAAGTAGCTTCATCTCACACTGAAAAAATGAGAAAAATCCAACCTTTCATTGAAATAAATTTATTGAAATAAAAACAAATCCTTCCATCAATAAATAATTATTTTTAACAAAAACACATGTGCCACACTTATTGGAGTGAATAGGAACCTTCAAGCTGTCATCCATGACTTCCTAGTTAACAGGGATACAAACATGAGGTAACACAGAGCCCAAATACCCTTAGTCATCCATCAACATGGGAAAGGTAAGAGAACATACAAACCAAATGAGGGAGAAGTGTGTTGACCTTCATAGGTCAGAGAATGGATATTAAATAGCTACTAGCCTGAAAATGCCCATTTCTAATGTTGGGACAATAATAAAATAAGTGGACAACAATGCTGGGTGGACCAATATTTTATGTTAAATGTGGGGGGGTCCAAACGAATAATTATGAAATATGAGGGGGACACGTCCCCCTCAGATTTAATGGCAGCAACGCCCATGCCCCCACGGATAGTGTGGAAGATTGTAAGAGAGGCAAAAAAATCCCCAAGGATCACTATTGGTAAATTACAAGACCAAGTAAAATATTGGGGTAAATATGTCTCCGAAAAAAACCATCAGACACCACCTTCATGCTAAGATATTATTTAGAACGTATGCCAGACAGAAGCTTTTTCTGTCAGTCACCACAAACTTAAGCACCTGGAGTTTGCAAAACACTACTACAACTTTGAATGGAACCAAATTCAATGGTCTGATGAAACAAAAATGGAGCTTTTTAGCAATAAACATTAGCATATGGGTTTGGCATAAAAAAGAAAGATGGCTATAATGAAATGAACCTTATCCCAACTGTAAAATATGGTGGAGGTTCTGTGATGTTGTGGGGCTGTTTTTCCTCCAAAGGCCCTGGAAACCTTGCTAGGGTGCATGGCATTATAGACTGCATAAAATACCAGGACATTTTACATCAAAATTTGGCTCCCACTTCCAGGAAACTCAAGCTGGGCCATCACTGGATCTTCCAGTGGGACAGTGATCCTAAGCACATGTCCAAATCAACACAAAAACCACAGAATCAAGTTTCTGCCATCACCATCTCAGTCCCCTGACCTGAACCCCACTGAAAACCTGGGGGCTGAGCTGAAGAGGAGAGTGGACAAGAGAGGGCCTCGGACCCTGGGTGATCTGGGAAGAGGAATGGACTCAGATGCCCTGTGTCACGTTGCGTGGTGCAGGCGAGCGGAGAAGCGGGCAAGCAGAGCCATATAGTCCAATAAGTGTGGTTTTAATGGTCACAGACGGGCAGACAGAACAGGATCAGGCACTACACAGGACAACATCAATGATAGAACTGGGGAAACTAAACGAGACATGGACTAAATACACAAGACAAGCTGAGGGTAACGAACAACAGGTGAGAACAATCAGGCAGAAACAGGAGGTAACGAGGTGGGCGTGGCACACACGAGGATCAGACGGAGCTGGACGTGACACCCTGCTCTGTATTCTCCAACCTTATAAAATGTTATAGGAGAAGACTCAGTGCTGCTATACTGGCAAAGGGAGGTTTTACAAAGTATTAAATGCTGGGGTGCCAATAATCATTTTGTTGAAAATAATTATTTCTTGACAGAGGATTTGTTTTTCTTTCAATAAATTTATTTTAACAAAAGGTTGGATTTTTCTAATTATTTTTCTAACCGTTTTTACAAATCTTTACAAGGAGTGCCAATAATTGTGGAGGGCACTGTTTTCACACACACACACACACACACGTCGACATAATGTTATTATTGTTTTTACAATACTCTGCTGGTGGTTTGCAATGTTACCCCTGAAATGCAACATTTCAGAAAACTGCACAGCTGTTTAAAACAAATCATTTGTGAAAGCATGATGACTTACTGGAAAACAGAAGTGGATCTTCACTAACATTTTCCCAACTTACTGGAAGGCTTCAGGGTAAATTAAACACACTCGGTATGCTTACTAAAATTAGTTGTAGGTCAGCAACTAATGCATGGAGAGTATACATACTGTTTATATTGATTAAAAATTAAAGTATTAAAAATAACTGAAACACAATTTAATAAAAACACATCGCATCACATTTATGGATGCAATGGTATTTTTAAATGTGTTGCCTAAAATTGTGTTTTGTTCTGTAATTTATAGGCCATATAATTTACCACTGTTCACCCTTTTCTGTTCACTTACCTTTTACAAAGAGGGTGATTTTATTAACCCAGTGACGACCTTCTGTAATCCTCACACGGACTGTATATGTGCCACTGTCTTCCTTGCGCAGGTCCCTGATCAGTAAATCCCCAGTTATTTTGTTGAGCTCCATACGTGGGTTGTTAGGGACATTTACATGGCCTCCAGAAAACCCTGCAATGTAGGTTTGGTTGGTGAAGATCGACCATTCAATTATGGCAATAGTTCCAGGCTCAGTCACTCCAGATGGTAAGGTGACGGATTTCCCCAAAAATCCTGTCCGTTCAAGGTCTTCATTTCTAAAGTCTAAAAGAAAAGCAAATTGTTGAGAACAGTACTGTCATCTGTTCTTTGGCAAAAAAGAGCCATAAACATTTAGCACACACACACACACACATAGGTTTGTAATTATACCTTTGTGGGGACTCTCCATTGATTTTTATGTGGAAAACTCTAATCACAACATGATGACCTTAACCCCGACCCAGCCCTAACCTAAACCATAAGTAAAGGCTTTTGGCATTTTTAGTGTTTAGTTTTTCCTAGTTTTCATTTCTAAACCCTAAAAAGAAAAGTGAAACAGTATTGTCTTCTGTTTTTTGTCAAAAAAGAGCCATAAACATTAAACACACACAGACACATATGTAGTTTTTACATAAAAGTAATGCATTATTCTGTACTGATGGCAGTTATGACTTGTGATATATCTTCAGAACTGCATTATGCACAAAATTCCATTGCCTGAAAAATATGATTAAGATATTTTATCTGAATGTGCGCTGCATACAAAATTTTCATAATCATACCTGAAACTTACTTCGAGACACTTTTCTTTTCAACATATGTAAATGCGCTCAACAAATTGAAAGAGAGTAAAAATATTAAAAACAATTACAAGTAAAGGTCATGAAAAAATTATTGGATTCAGCCTGTGTGGGTTTTTTTTTGTCATTTATCAGTTATTATGTTCAATTTTTTAAAAACAATATGCCTCTTTCCACATGATGGTGTAATATGAAGAAGAAATTAATTAACCCATAATCCATAACAAAATAAAAACTTTAAGCAAAACATTCTCTTTTTTACTCAATTAACTTCTACCATCCAACCATTTCTCAAGGAAGAGTTCACTGCACCATTAAAATACTTAAAATCGGAAGTTTGAGCGGAATGACTTTGACAAACACAGAGGCATAAATGGCCTTTTTAAATAAGGCCTGTAATAGAATTCATGCTCCATAGTCAATGGTTCTCTGCTCACCCACAAGGACAGTTAAACAAAAAACCATCTTACCAGAAAATAACATGAACAGGATGATACACGAGGCAGTAATTCTTCTATACATGGCTGAACACTAACTTCCGTATTCTTCTACCATATAAGAAAGAAGAAACAGGAAGTCAGCTTTCTATCTTCCCTAGCAACTGTAACGGGCAAGGAGGCACAGTCTGTACACTGTAAAAAAATAAATAAATGTTCAGCCAACTCAAAAATTCAACACAACATGCTGCAATACATTTTTGAGTTAAGTCAACTCAGTTACAAAAGTTCAACAAATTACCTATAGACAGAGGTTCAGCTAACTTTGACTTAAGAGTTAAGGCAACACTAATACAAGTTAGATTAACCTACACTGTAAAAAAAATGTTCAGTCAACTCAAAAATTCAACACAACATGCTGCAATACATTTTTGAGTTAAGTCAACTCAGTTACAAAAGTTCAACAAATTACCTATAGACAGAGGTTCAGCTAACTTTGACTTAAGAGTTAAGGCAACACTAATACAAGTTAGATTAACCTAGGTACAAAGTTTCAATAAACTTGGATTGTTAAATTGTCAACACTATTTTGCAAGTTCTATTAACATAGGTACAGAGGTTTAGTCAACTTTGTTTGAGGAGTCAAATTAAATTTAAATAAACATGCCTTGTTTAGTATGGGAGGTATTTTCTGCAAAAAATAAAATTAAAATGAAAATGATAAAAAGAAAATACAATCTCCACTTTGCCATTTACTTCCCAAAGTCTGTGCGTAAAAATCCTGCACAAATTAAAATTAAAATGAAATAGCACTATTTGCATTTAAATTTTCCACTCATGTATGAGTCAGATGTGAAAAATTGAAAAATAAAATCAAAAACCATTTTTGTCTTTTCATTTTCCAATTTGACTTTTCATTTCTTATTTTGGCTTTTCATTTTCAAGTTCGCTACATGGAAATATATGTTAATCGGAGCGGGGCGGTGGGCGGAGCTACTGATCACTGCTGCGCTTCTCAGTGCGTTTGCCGATTCCTTTCTTCTTGTGTTTCTTGCCCGTGTCGCCCATGTCGCCCAAACTAATGGCAAAGTCACACGCGGCTTAAGTTAGCTACTAGCTACAGCTTCCGATTCATTTAGCTTCAAAAATTACTTAATTTTTTCAAACTTTTTTCAAGTTTGGTTAATATAATTTTTTCAAGTCAGTTCAACTTTAAGTAGTCAATCTAATACATTAGATTTTTGCACTTAAAACCAATAAAACTGTTCATGCTCAACTAATGAATATAATTTGAAACAACTAAATAACCCAAAAGCCAGTTTACTGCAACAGTCCACTTCATTACAACACATTGTTGCATCCTTGCATGTATAGCTATAAACAAGATACAGTGGCCAGAAACAGTACCTTTTGTCTATAGACCACAACTTGGATTGAAAAACCATCCATCCATCATCCATTTTCTCCCGCTTATCCGAGGTCGGGTCGCGGGGGCAGCAGTCTCAGCAGGGAAACCCAGACTTCCCTCTCCCCGGCCACTTCATCCAGCTCCTCTGGG